CATTACAGACGTTCCTCCTGGTGCACATGGATTATATTCTTATATGACTGTTGGTTAAAGGTATTTAACTACATGTTACACTGTTCCCTTAAAGCTCTGTGTATCTTGTAGAAAGCTTACTACAGGAACACTGAACTCATTCTGGTGTCAAAGCCTTCCTGTAGTTTTATCAGGAACAGACATGTTTACTCAGCTTAGAGATGTGAGAAACCTTCCTTCCAATATGAAGGATAATGTTTTTGTTGGCTGTACCCTCTCCTTTCATTTTTACCGGCAGATTTGAAGATACTTTAGAGAAACCTATATTTCACACTACAGGAAAGGGACAACTCCAATAAGCAGAATAAGGCTCCTTTAAAGCTCCTTTTTCCGGTTGTAAGATTGCTATGCCACGTTGATTGAGCCTTCAAAATTAAATGTGGTCATTTGTGATTTACATTATAGTCAAATAAAAGCCATGTTACTGAGGCCTGCGCTGGTATAACACACTCAGAGACAGCCGAGTGGTGAGTCAGAGATTGTGTGTGTGTCTCTGTGTGTGTGTGTTTTTGCTATGCCCTTAGTTTACCTCCTATCTGCCTCCAGGGGAAACTGGAGGTAGCTTCAGGACACAGCGCAGTCACAGAGAGGTTACAGAGAGAAATCTAAGGCTGAATACAAATGTCCGGATTTCCCCTCGCTCGTGTTTAAGTCTGACTGCTGAGGGAAGTCCAAATCCACAATGCTTCCAGTCCACAGGGGGCTTCGAGCCAACCTTTTGAAGATTGCCAAGTCCATGGGATGCCGACCAATGATGTATTAACAGAGCTGCATGCAGGGACCTAGGCCAGACCTCCTTTGTTCCCATGAAAGCTGCTCAGTGTGCAAAACAAGCCACAACATGCTTAACGTCCAAGCACAGCACTACTCAGATCTGCAGCTGTTCTTATCCATCTATGTGCCCATAGCAAGAACACAATTGGTTTCTTTAACTATGTCTCTAGCTGCTGTCTCTGTTGGCTTTTTCACATAAACGACAGCATGAATAGCTCTGTATTCGGCTATTAGAGCATTTTAATAGGAGGATGGTGCAACCCACTGATAAAGAATGTGATGTGTTGAAAGCTCCGACTACACATTTCAATTTAAGGACGACTAACCACTTTTTGGCAACTCCAAGATCAGGAACTTGCTATGTGTGTGTCGGTGTCCTGAACTATAACTCCAGGTGTATATTTTATCAAACTTTCTTGACCCAAAACATGCTGTAGTAAGGTTAAAGACAGCAGCCATGATTTATTTTTTAGGTACAGGTTAGCTGTAAAGAGTGGAAACCTCTCCACCTGTCTTATAAGATAAAAATAAACCCTAATGAATCCCCTAGGTTACTACAGGTGTCATGGCAGCCACAGCAATAAGAGACAAAGGAAACACAGGATAGGTAACAGTTCACACAGGGATAATAAATAACAGTATATATTAAAATAACCGCAGTAGATTTAGGAAAAACAGTTACCATTCATACAGATATATCCAACAAGGGGAAATGAGGTTTCCCTCCGTTACATTGTATATAGTCGGCCAACTTGGGGCCCCAAGCGACATTGTGAGATGATAAAATATAATTAATGCAAATAAACTACTTCTACTAATAATCAATTCAATAATATAAATACTATATTATTTTATTACAATATAGTCAAGACAAAACATGCTTATGACATGCTCAAAAACTGATATTTCTTAAATCTGTATTCAAATGTAGTTCCCTCTGTCAGCAATGTATCAACAACTCACACATTGCTATAAGTATTTCTCTGTGTTGTGGTTGACATGATGATGACTGTTAGGAGTTAAGGGGAGAGGCTGAGCATCACCATGATGATGCAGGAGTTAAGGGGAGGGCTGAGCGTCACCATGATGATGACTGTTAGGAGTTAAGGGGAGAGGCTGAGCGTCACCATGATGATGACTGTTAGGAGTTAAGGGGAGAGGCTGAGCGTCACCATGATGATGACTGTTAGGAGTTAAGGGGAGAGGCTGAGCGTCACCATGATGATGACTGTTAGGAGTTAAGGGGAGAGGCTGAGCGTCACCATGATGATGACTGTTAGGAGTTAAGGGGAGAGGCTGAGCGTCACCATGATGACTGTTAGGAGTTAAGGGGAGAGGCTGAGCGTCACCATGATGATGACTGTTAGGAGTTAAGGGGAGAGGCTGAGCGTCACCATGATGACTGTTAGGAGTTAAGGGGAGAGGCTGAGCGTCACCATGAAATGTGCAAATTGACATAAAAATGCTCCATGTTTTTTAGGCTGTAAACTTTAACTGTTATGTAAGCCAACTAGACAGACAGTGTATCACTCTTCCTCCTGTACATTAGCAGATAAAAGGCATCACATAATGAATGAATGTTAAATAAAGAATGCTGGAAATAACTGCATCTCCATTAGCCTATATGCTCTGCAGAGACTGCCTTCTTCATGTCGTGAATTGCAGCTGATGTTTTAATATGGCAATTGGCAATTTGACTTATACAACATTCGCAAGTTGTACATTTGACTCATACAATAACCCACCTTCGAGTGATGCTCTAGTTTCTTCAAGTTTTTTTTTTTGCTCCGGACTGAAACTGTCTTTTCACCGACATCTCTTCACCTGCACTAGTGGCCGTATCAAAGCCGTGATTGGTCAGATGTCGATTCATTGCAACGGTGTCGGGTTACAGACGTGCTCCCTTGTCACCTCTCACTCTCGCGTGTCAGCGGGGGTGCGCGGAGAACTGAGCACAGCAGCTGAGGCCCTGTGGCAAGGCGGGGCCCCATGCAGCCTGCGTGATTGATCTGTAGGGAGGGGCGGCCCTGTATATAGTACACCTGAAATACACACACATGCACAGGACTTTAACACAAAAAACACACACATGCATTAATGTAGAGGCGTCCGATTGAATGGGCTGCAATGGTTCAAATCCTGAGAGCAGTTGGAGTTTGTAGTGCCTTGCTCATGACACAATGGCAGGATCAACTGGACAAACTCTGTGGGGTGGTGTTAGTGTGTGTTTTATCCTCGGGGGGTAATGTTTACTCAGGCTAACACAGTTTACTCCCTGTAAACCACTGTGTGAGGCGGCTAATGAGAGCAGCCATGAATGTGTGTGTAAGATTTCTTTGTCAGTGTGTGTGATGTGTGAAGAGGTTGGAGG